TTAGATAAAGTTTCATCTCTTAAGTCTTCACTTCCTTTAATGTCTAGCCCTGTTTGTACCCCTGGTTGTTCGTCTACTTTCCAACAGTTTGAGCCCGTGTCACTCCTTACTCTTAAGCATTTAGTTGAACAACTGAACAATACTAATCCTATACATGATACCCTCCCATCTCGCATAGTTAAGGACTGCTTCGATGTAATTGGACCCAGTATTTTATCGCTATTGAATTCTTCCTTACTCTCTGGCTGCGTCCCGTCAGCTTTTAAACATGCTATAGTTCAGCCTGTTCTTAAAAAAAGGAACCTTGATTATAATCATTGTGTGAATTACAGGCCGATCTCTAAGCTCCCGTTCCTGTCCAAAATCCTCGAGAAGATAGTTCTTCTACAACTCCAGGCGTACCTGGATGAGAATCACATTAATGATAAATTCCAGTCTGCCTTCAAACCACATCATAGCACTGAAACAGCGTTGCTTAGAGTCCTCAACGATCTTCTTCTAATTGCTGATACTGGACGCTCTGCGGCCCTAATTTTATTGGATTTATCCTCGGCCTTTGATATGGTAGATCACAACATCTTATTAGCGAGGCTTGAGCATACTGTAGGCATTAAAGGTGTTGCCCTTGATTGGTTTGAATCATACCTCTCCAATAGGTCCTTCTCGGTCAATCTGGGCACCTGCTCTTCCTCCGCTGCACCTGTCTGCTGTGGCGTGCCTCAAGGATCTGTGTTGGGCCCTACTCTTTTCTCACTGTATATGCTCCCTCTACGTGCAATCTTTGAGAAATATCGCACCGCCTTTCACTGCTATGCTGATGATATACAGATCTTCTTTGAACTAAATGATGATCTTGCTTTGTCCTTGCACTGCTTTCAAGAGTGCATGCGTAAGGTCAAAGATTGGCTCTTAGCAAACTCTCTTATCCTAAATGATAAGAAAACTGAAATCGCGGTATTTGGCAGCAACGTTCCTCGTGGCCAACTTTGTGATGCCTTTGGTTCCCTTACCAGCTCCCTTTCTGACACTGTTAGCAATTTGGGCGTGTTGCTTGACAGCTCGTTCAAATTCGATAAACAAGCGTCTGCTGTAGTTAGATCTAGTTTCTACCAACTGCGTCTCATCTTTAAGGCTAGGCACTATGTTCCACATAAGGACCTGGAAAATCTCATCCA